TCGCTGCTGCTGCTGCTGCTGCTGCTGCTGCAGCAGCAGACGAGGATCTCCTTGAAGAGACAAACAATGAAAACGCCGCCCCACAGTCCAGGAAATCCCCCACTCGGGGGGCCCCACAAGCCGCTGCTGGGGGCCCCCCTGTCTGCTTTTTTGCTTCCCGAAGGCAGCAGGCAGCTGCGCTGCTGCTGCTGCTGCTGCTGCAGTGCAGCAGCGGCGCAGCCAGTGGTCTGCTGCGCGCGTCCGAGCAGCAGCAGCAGCAGCAGGGCTCTCTGCAGCAGCTGCAGCAGCTGCTGCTGCTGCCGAGCGCTCGTGCTCCGCTGCGAAAGAAGCAACCCGGGCTGCTGCTGCTGCTGCTGCTGCAGCAAGAGCAGCAGCAGCCCGCAGCAGCAGCGGCGACCACAGTGCCCACGTTAAGGGCCTGCACAGCCGCAGCAGCCAACTCCCGTGCTTCCTTTCGAAAGGTGTCACTGCTGCTGCTGCTGCTGCTGCTGCTGCTGCTGCTGCTGCTGCTTCTGCTGCTGCTGCTGCTGCTGCTGGGCTGCTGGGGGCTCTTCCTGCAAGGCCGTCCGCTGCTGCTGCTGCTGCTGTTGCTGCTGCTGCTGCTCCAGAATCTGCATGCAGCCTTTGCTGCGTTAAAGGGTGGGCGGGGACTCTTACGGGGGGCCAGTGCAGCAGCTGCTGTTCTGCTGCTGCTGCTGCTGCTGCTGCTGCTGCTGCTGCTGGTGCAACTGCTGCTTCGGCATCTGCTGCTGCTGCTGCTGCTGCTGCGCCGTTTTCCATATCTAGCAGCTGCAACGTCGTGACTGCTGCTCTCCGCTGCCGCTGCCGCTGCTGCCGCTGCTGCTGCTGCTGCTGCTGCTGCTGCTGCCTCTGCTTCACCTTAAGGACAGAAGTAGCTCCTTCTGCTGCTGCAGCAAAGCGCAGCAGCAGCTCCAGCTTCTCTGCTGCACCCCCAAAGGGGGCCCCCCCACTAAACCCTACCCCTGGGGGGCCCCCACTGCCACTGGGGGGCCCCCCACTTACAACTACAGGGGGGCCCCCTGGGGGCCCCCCAATTAAATTCTGTGGGGCCCCTGGGGGCCCCCCACTTACAACTACCGGGGGGCCCCCTGGGGGCCCCCCAACTAAATTCTGTGGGGCCCCAGGGGGGCCCCCAATTAAATGCTGGGGGGCCCCCCGGGGGCCCCCAATTAAATGCTGGGGGGCCCCCAGAAGGTTTAAGAGGCCCTTTAAAGAGCTGCGCAGTGCAGCTGTGTGTACACCTGCTAAACCAGGAAGAAGCTGCTGCTGCTGCTGCTGCTGCTGCTGCTGCTGCTGCTGCTGCTGTTGCTGTTCCTGCTGTTGCTGCTGCTCCTGCTGCTGTGTGGAGTTCTGGGGTTCCTCTTGAGGGTGGTTCTGTTCTCGCTGCAGCAGCAGCTGCTGCTGCTGCTTCTCTAGGTAATTCTGCTGTTGCTGCTGCTGCTGCTGCTGCTGCTGCTGCTGCTGCTGCTGCTGCTGCGTCAGGTGTCTGGACAGCTGAATGAGCAGCTCCGTGACAGCAACAGCAACAGCTTCAGCGCCCTCTACAGACACAATTGCTGCTCTTTCGCTGTCTTCTTGCTGCTGCTGCTGCTGCAGCAGCAGCAGCAGCAGCTCGTCCTGCCACTCACCAATAAGGGAGCTACACAGCAGCGGGCCTTCGAGCTGCTGCTGCTGCTGCTGCTGCGCTGCAGACAACACAAGCTCCCACTGCTGCAGCAGCAGCGCTTGGCTGCAGCTGCGAGGCGCTGCAGCAGCAGCTGCTGCTGCAGGAGGCGCTGCTGCTGCTGCTGCTGCTGTTGCTGCTGCTGCTGCTGCAGGCTCTGAGGCCCCAAATACCGCTGTCTGTACACCTGCTTGCTGCAGGCCCTGCAGCAGCAGCGCAGCAACGGCCTCTAGTGTGTCGTTAGTTGCTTGCTGCTGCAGCAGCAGCAGCTGCTCCTGCAGCAGCAGCAGCTCTTGCTGCTGCTGCAGCCGCTGCTGCTGCTGCTGCTGCGCAGCCTCTCCCTGCATCAGATGCTCCCACGTCTCACTATCTCCCCCGAAGCCACTGCTGCTACTGCTGCTGCTACTGCTGCTGCTACTTTTGCTGCTGCTGCTGCTGCTGCTGCTGCTGCTGCTAACGAACTGCGGCAAAGGAGAGGGTATAAGAGGGTCTAGATGAGCCCTTTGAGGGTACATAAAAAAGGGGGGCCCCCCAGGGGCCCCTTCATGCGGACATTCCCCTGGGGGGCCCCCAGGGGTACAAAAGTGGGCCCCATTGGGGGCCCCCAAGGGGCCCCCCTGGGGGCCCCCCGTTCTCTCCATAACCCACCTAACAAATGCTTCCCTAGGGTCTGCTGCAAAGACTTTTCTTTGCTGCAGTGACCCCTGTGCTGCTGCTGGCAGCAAGGCATCGCTGCTGCTGCTGCTGCTGCTGCTGCTGCTGCTGCTGCTGCTGCTGCTGCTGCTAGTGCTTGGGGAAGCCCGCTGCGGCCCAAACGAATTCCTACTGCTGCTGTTGCTGCACCTTTCTGGGCAGCCAGAAACTTTGTGCTGCTGCCCCTGCTGCTGTTGCTGCTGCTGCTGCAGCTCCTGCTGCTGCTGCAGCTGCTCCAGCTGCTGGTTTGCTGCAGCAGCAAGCGCTGCGCTGATTTGCTGGAAACGAACTCGCAGCATTGCAAACTCCCACTGTCTGTACACCTCAATACAGACGCAGGGGCCCCAATCATCTTTGGGGGGCCCCTGGGGGCCCCCCTGCCGGGGGGCCCCCACTTGGGGGGCCCCCCCGGGGGGGCCCATTCCCATTATAGTCTAAAACTTCGCCAAAATACCCTTTTAATTGCCAAAAAACAAAATATGGCAAAAAGCGGGGCCTCTTAGGCTTGTCCTGTCCTCCGGGGGGCCCCCCGGGGCCCCGGGGGGCCTCGGGGGGCCCCCAAGGGGCCCCCTGGGGCCCCTGAGATGCAGGAAAGAAACATTTTGTGGGTGAGGAGGAATTATATTTGTATATTTATGTTTAAATATTATTACTTTGGTGTTTTTATTTATATTTTTGCTTTTATACTCTTCAAAAATATAAATGCGGCGTTTATTGGCTGCGGAGTTTGAGTTCATGTCAGGTGTCTGTACACTGCGTTTACAATTCCATGCACCTTTATTCTTAATTTATTTAACTTTTTCTTCAATTTATTTAAATTTATTTAAATTTATTTAAATTTATTTAAATTTATTTGAATTTATTTGTTTTTTTGTCACTTTTTGCCCATTTATTCCAACACTGTTTGCCTTTTCCTGTAATGGTTAGCTGACTCGCGTTTATTTGTTTACTTCTTTCCATTGTTTTAATTCTGGACTTTATTTTTCATTTAATTTTTGATCAATTATATTTAATTTTATTTTTGTTTTAATTAATTGTATTTGTGGAAACCTTTAAGTAAATCAGACTGCGCAGCAGCAGCAGCAGCAAAAAGAGCAGCAGCAGCAGCAAAAGATGCAGCAGCAACAACAAAGCAGCAGCAGCGGCAGCAAATGAAGCAGCAGAAGCCGCAAAAGCAGAGTGACAGCATCCAAACTCTGGGCCTAAATCCCAAGCCCTAAACCCTAAACCCTAAACCCTAAACCCTAAACCCTAAACCCCCAATCCCACTCGCCAAACCCTAAACTCTGAAAGCTTTAAATCGGGTTTCGAGTTTTGAAGAATGAAATGAAAAAGGCCGCGTCAGGGATTAGGGTTTGAAGTTGTTCGCGGGCGCCGCACAAACCCTAAACCCTAAACCCTAAACCCTAAACCCTAAACCCTTCGTCCGGCTTCACTGTCTCCGTGTGAGGAAAAGCTGGAGGGCCCTTGGCCATCTATTTCGAAGTGGCTGTTGGAGTGTGTGAGTTTGCTGCTGCTGCTGTTGCTGTTGCTGCTGCTGTTGCTGTTGTGCCGCTGCCCCCTCTGCTGCTGCCTATCCCGTGGGGGCCCCCCTTCCAGGGGCCCCCCCGTGGGGCCCCCCGCAGCAGGGGGCCCCCCCGCTGCCCCTTCAAGGGGCCCCCCAGGGGGCCCCCCAGAGGGCCCCCCAGGGGGCCCCCCAGGGGGCGCCTGAATGGGTACCCTCAGGGGCCCCTGAAGGGGGCCCCCCTGGCTGCTGAGGGGGCCCCCGGGGACTCCCTGGGTGCTGGGGGCCCCCCCGGGGGCCCCCCCGGGGGCCCCCGGGGTACTGGGGGGGGCCCCCGGAAGGCCAGTGTTGTGGGGGGGCCCCCCGGGGGCCCCATGGAGGGTGGGGGGGCCCCCCGGGGGCCCCCGGGGGCCCCTTTTGAAGTGCAATTGAGATAATAATTTGTGTTGATGATCTGAAAGTTCTTTTTCGGAATTTAATAAATGAACTAATGCGGGATCTGCTTCGCTAAATGCAAATCCGCTGTAGCGGTGGTAAGAAGGGCGGTCCCAGTCGCAACTCTGAAAAAAAATAAAACAAATAAATAAATAAATAAATAAATAATTAATTAATTAATTAATTAATTAATTAATTAACTAATTAATTATAACAATAAGTGAATAATAAATGAATAAATTAATAGATGTATGGATGATAAATTAATATAGCGATAAACAAATTTGTTTGTTGGCGGATTGTTTTAATTAGTTAGGTGATTAACTAATTCGTTGGTCAATTAATTAATTAATTAACTTTTAGTAAATTAATTAATTAATTAATTAACTTTCAATAAATAAATAAAGTAATTAATTGCTAATTCGTTAATTAATTAATCAATTATTTAATTATCAATTACTCAAAAAGAAAATTAATTTACAAAAAGAAGAAAATTGGGGAAGGAAAAAGGAGTAAAAGAAAAAACAAAAAAGCGAAAATACGAAATAAATAAAATAACAAAGTTAATAATATAATAAAATTAATAAAGTAATAAAATAAATAAAAAACAATTGAACAAAAAAAGGAAAGTAACCATTTGCTTGACCGATTTCAATAAAATTTATCCAGAATAATTATTTTAATTAATTTAATTAATTTAATTGATTTAATTAATTAAATTAATTGAGCTAATTAATTAATTAATTAATTGATCAATTAATTAATTGATCTATTAATCAATTTAACAAATCAATCAATTATTAATCTATTTAGTCATTTATTAGTTAATTGGTTAATTAACTAATTAATTAATTATTAATCAATTAATTAGGTTAAATCGAAACAAACAAACAAATAAACAAATAAATAAATAAATACATGAATAAATAAATAAATAAATAATCAGAGAGATAAATAAATAAATAAATAAATAAATAAATAAATAAATAAATAAATAAATAAATAAATAAATAAATAAAATACGAACAGCATGTTGCGTTTCTCCTTCTCTTTCAGTTCTGTCCATTGCAGAATCAATAAAAGAAGGTTCTGGAAAAAAAGAAACAGAAAGTTCTCGAGTTCTGCTTCTTGCTGCTGCTGCTGCTGCTGCTGCTGCTGCTGCTGCCAGCAAATCGCCCTCCTTCCGCTGCTGCTGCAGCGGCCCCATAGACAGCCGCAGCGGGGCCCCCACGTCTTTCATTTTCAGATATTCCTAAAAAGAGAAAACAAATAAAAATAAATAAAATAAATAAAATAATTAAAATAATTAAAATAAATAAAATAATTAAAGATATAAATGAAGAGAAAGGGAATAAAAAGGAAATAAAAGAAAAAAAGAAGAAAAAAAAGCAAAAGAGGAGAAATGAAACGAAAAGAGATAAAGGCAGATTACCGCCTGCAGCAGCAGCACTAGCAGCAGCAGCAGCAGTAGTAGCATTAGCAGCAGCGGCACCAGCAGCAGCAGCAGCATTAGCAGCAGCAGCATAACCGCCAAAAGCAGCAGCAGTAGCAGCATAACCGTTAGAAGCAGCAGCACTAGCAGCAGCAGCAGCACCACCGCCATCACTAGCAGCAGCAGCAGCATCACCGTCATCACTAGCAGCAGCAGCAGCAGCAGCAGCAGCATCACCGTCATCACTAGCAGCAGCAGCAGCACTAGCAGCAGCAGCAGCAGCAGCAGCAGCACTAGCAGCAGCAGCAGCATCACCGTCATCACTAGCAGCAGCAGCAGGACTAGCAGCAGCAGCAGCAGGACTAGCAGCAGCAGCAGCAGCACTAGCAGCAGCAGCAGCAGCAGCGGGAGACGGACTGTTTGCTGCACGAGGTGGTGGATTTCGGGTCTCAAGTTGACTTTGAAAGCTTTCCAAATCCAATCTCTCAAAAGACACAAAGTTGGTGCTGCTGCTAAAGCAGCAGCAGTACTTGGAGCAGCAAAAATGAAAAGATAATAAGTGCAGCCCAAGACAGAGCCCGCAAACCCCGGCCACGAAGAAAACCCAAACATAAACAGCAGACACGCGAACAAGCTGCAGCAGCAGCAGCAGCAGCAGCAGCAGCAGCAGCAGCAGCGGCAGCGGCAGGCACAGCGCAGCACGCGGCGGGGTTCAGGAGCTGCAGCGGTTCTGCTGCAGCAGCCGCAGCAAATGCAGTGCTGCAGCTGCCGCAGCAGCAGCGAGAACTCTGCGGCAGCAGCTGTGCATCAGCAGCAGCAGCAACTGCAGCAACAAACGCAACACTACCAGACGCAGCAGCAGCAGCAGCAGCAACGGCAACGAAAGCAGCAAAGCAGCAACAACAGCAGCAGCAGCAGAGCAACACCAGCTGCAGCAACAGCAGCAGCAACTGCTGCAGAGCAGCAGCAGCAGCAGCAACAGCAGCAGCAGCAGCAGCCGCAAAAGCAACAGCAGCAGCAGCCGCGGCAACAGCAGTAGCAGCAACACCAAGCACAGACGCCACAGCAGCAGCAGCAGCAGCAGCAGCAGCAGCAGCAGCAGCAGCAGCAGCAGCAAACCTGATGCCGAATCCCGCCCATACGACGGAATTCAAATAAGAAGTTTCCAAAAGCACTTTTATATTTACAACAACCATCGTCAAGGCAAATACCAACATGCCCGTCATCCACAAGTCAAACGGCTGCAGCAACACAAACCCTAAACCCTAAACCCTAAACCCTAAACCCTAAACCCTAAACCCTAAATCATGATATAGTGTTTGAGCCAGATGCCGCATCACCTCCACGTGAAAGAGCGGAGTCGCTCAACCCCCACCCCTAAACCCCAACCCTAAACCCTGAACCCTAAACCCTAAACCCTAAACCCTAAACCCTAAACCCTCACCTGCCCCTGGAGCGTGGGCACGCTGTAGTAGCCGAAGGCCGCGAGGGGCAAAGCGAAGATAATGGCCGCGTGCCAAACCCCCGACAAAACCCACAAAAGGAAAACTTTGAAGTTTAAATAAAAATGGAATTGTCCAGTTTTGTAGAGTTGGGGAAAAGCCAGAGAAAGACGCTTGTCCACGTCCTGGTCCAGCACCCCGTAAATTGTAATGGGAATCTGCAAAGTCCATTTCAAAAGGAATTTTGCGGAAATTTCAATCGAATTGGACTTTATTTCATCTTTTCAAACAAATATTGCAAAAAAAAGAAACAAAAAGGAAAAAAATTCGAAAAAAAATTCAAATTTTCAGAATTTCAAAAAATTTCCAATTTCCTGCTTGCGCTCGGGTGTCTAGACACCCCAGAGTCCACACCGAAGTTGAAAAGTTCAAATTTTGCAAAAAAACGTTTTGGGACATTTTGGATAAATAAAAGGGTTTTTAGGGTTTTAAATATACCCTTTTCAATTTAAATTCATTTATTTAATTTTCTAATTTCAAATTCCACTCAAGTTTGGCAGAACTCTGCAGTCGCCACTCCTTCCCATAAACCCTAAACCCTAAACCCTAAACCCTAAACCCTGGCCCGTACCCTGCACTCCCCACGCGAGCTCAAACCGCATCCACCCCGCGCCGCAACCCTAAACCCCAAACCCCAAACCCCAAACCCCAAACCCTAAACCCCAAGCCCCAAACCCTAAACCCGAAACCCCAAACCCTAAACCCCAAACCCTAAACCCTAAACCCTAAACCCTAAACCCTCACCGCAGTGAAGACGACGTTGTACATTTGGTAGAGGAGTTCGAAGTAGAACTTTTGGGAGGAAAAGAGAGAAAAGGCTCCGTAGAAAAACATTGGCAAAACCAAAACGAGGTTTTTGTAAAACATGTAAAGCACTAAGGACAAACCCTCCGATAGTTCCACCGCCCGTGCGCCAGCAGCAGCGGCTGCAAGTACCGAAACTGACTCAGCCCGTAGTCCGAGGCCTGCAGCAAACGAGGGTTTAGGGTTTAGGGTTTAGGGTTTGCTGCTGGGCTTCCACGCCCCTGAGAGTTGTTTAGGCTGCGGGGGGCGCGGGAGGGGCTAGGGGTCAATTAGGGTTTAGGGTTTAGGGTTTAGCGCTGGGCTGTGACGCCCCCTGGGGCGTGTTTAGGCTTGCGGGGACAAGGAAGGAGCTAGGGTTTAGGGTTTAGGGTTTGGCGAGCAGGGAATTATTTCTCCAGAATTAAGCTTTCCGGTTAGCAGCAACCTAAACCCTAAACCCCAAAGCCACCAGTCCTCCCGGCCCCCCCAGGGCCCCGCTACGGCGCGCCACGCACGACCAAGGGTTTAGGGTTTAGGGTTTAGGGTTTAGGGTTTAGGGTTTACGTTGAACGCCTGCATGCCCTCCTCCCCGCGAAGCCCCACGCCCACGTCCGCCGCCTGGATCATACTGCAGTCATTTGCGCCATCGCCGATGGCGAGGGTAACCTCGCCAGTGAGTTTCTTTAAAAGAGTCACCACTGCGCCCTGCAAACCCTAAACCCTAAACCCTAAACCCTAAACCCTAAGCAGGTTCTACTGAAATCTCTTCAACTTGTTCAATCATTGCGGATTTTACTAAAGCCTAATCCAGTTACCCAAACCCTGCGAAGGGCTATTAGCAGCAAAGTCCCCCCCAGGTGACGGGATACCATTAAACCTAAACCCTAAACCCTAAACCCTAAACCCTAAACCCTAAGCTCCAAACCCTAGGACCTGAGCCTTGTGGGAAGCCGGTGGAGTCCACATCTCTT